GAACTCGGTGCCTATAATGTCACGGAAAACAAGTGATATTAAAGATTAATGAAAACGAGATCGTTTGATCAAGAAAATAAATGGAGTCGATAAATCTCTCTCTTTCTCTCATTTCTCTCCTCTCTCTCTCTCTCTCTCTCTCTCTCTCTCTCTCTCTCTCTCTCCTCTCTTCTCTCCTCTCTCATTCCCTCCCTCCCTCTCTCAATAAATGTCAAAAAAATGAAAAGAAATGATGAGCTTGTTAGCTGAACCTCCTCCTCTCCCTCCTCCTCCTCCTCATCATCATCATCATTATAACACATACACACACACACACACACACACACACGCGCACACACACACACACACACACACACACACACACACACAACACACACACACACACACACACACACACACACACACACACACACACACACACACACACACATACACACACACACACACACACACAAACACACGCACAACTAACACATACACACCACATACGTCTTAACAACAATGAGCACTGATCCAAACGAAATAAATAAAAGTCCCTGATGTATATTTAGCGACATCGAGAGCATACTTGAGATGGACTGCCAGACAAGGAAGTGAGAGGTGCACCGCCTGTACCCTCCGCCCCTCCCCCTCCCCCTCCATCCCCCACCCTCTGACTCTGTCCTTGGCATTATCTTGGACTTCAAACCCCCTCTCCCCTCCCCTCCCCCCTCCCTCCCTGAGCTCTCCTGGTGGCTGAAAAGCTGAAGGTCTATGGAGCTTAGAAATAGATACTTTGAAATATGGATTTCTAGCCATATGCCGAGCTATTGATCTGTATATTTGTATATAAATCTATATGCGTGTGTGTGCATCTGTGGAAGAATTGTTGTAAAGATAATGACCATGATTATACAGTTGATTTGTTGTTATCGGTATCATCTGCAAATATTCTTATGATGATTTTATCAAGAATATATCTGTCAGTAAATATCACGAGCAGCATCATGATTATGATCATGATCATCATAATATTTGCCATTACCATAAGCATTATCATCAGAGAGAGAGAGAGAGAGAGAGAGAGAGAGAGAGAGAGAGAGAGAGAGAGAGAGAGAGAGAGAGAGAGAGAGAGAGAGAGAGAGAGAGAGACAGACAGACAGAGAAAGAAAGAGAGAGAGAGAAGAGAAGAGAAGAGAAGAGAGAGAGAAGAAAAGAAAAGAGAAAAGAAAAGAAAGAAAAGAAAAGAAGAGAGAAAAGAAGAAAGAAAAGAAAAGAAAAGAAAAGAAAAGAAAAGAAAGAGAAGAGAAGAGAAGAGAAGAGAAGAGAAGAGAAGAGAAGAGAAGAAGAGAAGAAGAGAAGAGAAGAGAGAAGAGAAAAGACAGACACAAAATAATGAGAGATAGAGAGAGAGAGAAAGAGAGAAAAGTGCAGTTGGGTTGTTTACCTTCTGTTTTCGTCGAGGCAAGTGAGACGTAAAGGGTTGCTTATTTGTTAATTTCTTACAGCTATTTTTTTTTTTTGTATAATGATTATGATGATACTGTTACAATTTTTGTTCTTATTTGCATCGTTACCATTCACATTCATTATTATTATTATAATTATTATTATTGCTTCTATTATTATCATTATTACTTTTGTCATTATCTTCACTATTTTTAGTGACCTCTCACCTCGACCTCGCCATCACCCTCGCTGTAGGCCCCGCAGTATATAGGACTCTACTGTTTATCCCCGGCGCCAACGTGTCCTGCGCCCCTCGCGAGACGACCGAGACAAATTGCCACCAGAACAAGCAATTCCGACCCTTACTGACAATACTTCTGATTACCTTATAACTACTTGCAAACTTATGTATTATGTATGCTCATAATGTTCCCTAGTTATTGCACTGTATATATCACTACTTTTGTAATAATTTTCATTGTAGTTACTCTAGTTATCAATTGTTCACGAATATTCTACGGACATACTTTCTTATCACGACGCTTTTAGTTGTACAAACACCTAACACGTGTGTGAACCGATGTTTCTGAATTCATGTTCTTTCATATTCTTTCATGTTTTTCCATTGAATATTGTCTCAAACGAATTTCGTTCATGGCAATTCCTGTGCCATCTACGGCAGACCGCTCGCCCTCGCAGGCTCGGCAGGACGCGCCCTTCCCTGGGCCTCTGCCTTGCCCTCTGTACCAGTTACCCAGAATAAAGACAAGAAAACTGCGACAAGTTTAACTTCAGACCAACATCTTCAGAGTACGTCAGTACTTACTTACTACTGCCTTACCACTCAGCCACGACCTACCAAACAACAAGTAATAATAGTGGGGGGTGGGACGCCTCCTTCCTCCCACTACACATACATTACAAGTGTTGGCAGTACGGTGGGATTGCCGCACCACGCGCCCCTCCGAAGATTGCCGCACCACGCGCCCCTCCGAAGATAACGCACCACACGAAGCCTTCCGAAGATATCGCACAAGAACTCTGAAGATCAACTTCACGAGAAGTTACAAGTCTCTACCAAGATTATCGACTCCTGGAAGCAAAGAAACTCTTATCGAACTCTGTCACTTCAAGACTTCCGACACCAAGCACGAAGCCAGTCTTCCCTGCTGTCACTACTCCCTCTGCGCACCTGCCGCAGTCCTCAACAGTTACTGCAGTCGCCTGATGCAGCAACATCAATCTACACTGCCCTGCCAGTACCTCAAGGTGAGTTTCTTTTATCCTCGCTGTCTCATTTGCTTAGGAAATCCCCTGTGAAGTGAAGTGTCTGATTTCCTCTCGCTCTCGCGAACACCTGTGTTCCTCCCGCATAGAAAACGAGATCTCCCCTCACTGGCATCTGTCTCCCCTTAACTAGCATGTCTCCCCTCACTCCGATCGCGCCTGACTCATGCCTGTGGTTAGCATGATTACGTTAATTTCTCTGTAGTTCTGTCTACCTATGAGTACTTAGTTCGTTTTCCTTTACTCTGTCGTAATGATTTCTGAATCTCCACGATGCTAAGTTCCAGTTCATTCATAATGAGCTATTTTTTCCAGGAAATTCTTCCTGCATTTTTTGCATGTCTTCAGTAATTCTCTTAATAGGAAAATCCTTCCTGTATCCTAGCATGCAACTACCCTTCATTTTCGAAGATTAATCCAGCATTTTTGCACGCAACTACTCTCATTCCCCTGAAGAAATGTGTTCTATGATTTATCTACCCTCACTTTTACAAGTATATCTGTTGCCCTCTGATCTTGCACGTGAATTCTACAAACTATGACACGGAGAATCATTCCTTTATCTTGCATGGCTCTATAAACTCGCAATTTCCACGAGATTTTGTCCTACAATCTCGTTTTGTTTGTTACTGCCTCCTATCTCTCAGGTAAATGTTGCAATTAACACCCTCTGTTCCCAATACTTGACACGTTGCTTCCAGTTATTTTCCTAATCACTATGAGTTCGTGTTGATATTGTAACTCCCTGAGATACTGAGATATGGCATTATGTCTTCTGTCGCCAAGACATGGTACTGTTGTTCCCGTCTGTTGTCCCCAGAGCCAGACGCCCGTGCTGAAACGCCACTGCTGACCTTGACTCTCGGATCACCACGTCGTCCCCTCGCCGCCGTGCCCTGACGCACAAGTTTCGCTCGCCCGTTAACGAGCCCATCTCACGGACGTCCTCGCCGCCGTATCACCTGCCGACGCTCCCATGTTCTCTACTGTACATCGCTGCAACTCCGGCCGTGTCCGCCGCCTTGTCCGCTGGTGACTACCGCCGAACGTCCTCACCGCCGCATCACCTGCCGACGCTCTCCTGTTCTCGCGTTGCTACTCCGGCCATGTCCGCCGCCCCGACCCGTCCGCTGGTGATCGCCGCCCACGTTCCCTCGTGCATCTCGCTACGCTCACTCACCACACCCGCTGCCCTGCTGGTGACCTTGGCAAGAACTGTCCCTCCTTGCCTGCCGACCCTCGTGACGTCTTCACAATGTTGTTCCTCTCCCGAGATGACGAATCCTTCTCGCCGACGTGATCCTCAAGACCTCGCTCTCAAGATTCTCCGCTCAACCTTCGACTCTTCGACGATTACTGGTCTCCCAGAATCTTCTAGACCCGGTGTGCGTGTCATTTACGACTGACACGGCGCTTGACAAGTTAACTGTGTCTTCCAGTGATCCTGTGTGGAACGATTGACGAGCTCCGTGACTGATCATCACTGCCGCTCACGTCAAGACCACCTGCACCCCGAACAGTGACCTGTGCAAACAAGCACCCTAGGCCGCCGACCTTAGAAATACCTGTACGACCGTTCCTCCTCAACTGCACGATCGAGACTCCCTGTGTCTGTTACCTCCGTCACCTGTCACCTGTCATCTACCTGCATCGTCTACTCAAGAATCGAGGACGATTCTTTTCTAGTGGCCGAGCGATTTAGTGACCTCTCACCTCGACCTCGCCATCACCCTCGCTGTAGGCCCCGCAGTATATAGGACTCTACTGTTTATCCCCGGCGCCAACGTGTCCTGCGCCCCTCGCGAGACGACCGAGACAAATTGCCACCAGAACAAGCAATTCCGACCCTTACTGACAATACTTCTGATTACCTTATAACTACTTGCAAACTTATGTATTATGTATGCTCATAATGTTCCCTAGTTATTGCACTGTATATATCACTACTTTTGTAATAATTTTCATTGTAGTTACTCTAGTTATCAATTGTTCACGAATATTCTACGGACATACTTTCTTATCACGACGCTTTTAGTTGTACAAACACCTAACACGTGTGTGAACCGATGTTTTCTGAATTCATGTTCTTTCATATTCTTTCATGTTTTTCCATTGTATATTGTCTCAAAACGAACTTCGTTCATGGCAATTCCTGTGCCATCTACAGCAGACCGCTCGCCCCCGCGGGCTCGGCAGGACGCGCCCTTCCCTGGGCCTCTGCCTTGCCCTCTGTACCAGTTACCCAGAATAAAGACAAGAAAACTGCGACAAGTTTAACTTCAGACCAACATCTTCAGAGTACGTCAGTTACTTACTTACTACTGCCTTACCGCTCAGCCACGACCTACAAACAACAAGAGTAATAATAGTGCGGGGTTGGACGCCTCCTTCCTCCCCACTACACATACATTCACAACTATCATCATTTATTATTATTTTATCGTTTTGTATTGTTATTATCATCATTATCATGATCATTTTAATATTGTTATTATTATCATCATTGTTATAATCATTATCGTACTATTATCATCATCATCATCATTATCAATATCATTCTTCTTCTCATTATTATCATCATCATTCTTATTACCATTATTACTATTATTATTATTATTATTATTATTATTATTATTATTATTATTATTATTATCATTATCATTATTATTATCATAATTATTACTGCTATTATTATTATTACTATTATCATCATCAATATTATCATTATTATTATCAATATTGTAGCCATTATCACTGTTATCCTCATTATCATTATTGTTATTATTATCATTATCAGCATCACTATTATCCCCCTTAATCATCCATTTCTCCCTCCTTTAAGCTATTTCTCTGCCTCATTACCTAATTACCTATCTAAATATTAATCATCCCTGTATCTATTTAATTGTCCCTCTACCTTTCTTTATCATTATTACTTCAATTCCCTTGTTCGTCCATGTATCCAACCTATGTATTCAATCTATGTATCTAATATATGTTTACGATCTATGTATCCCATCCGTGTATTATATATATGCATACGATCTGTGTATGCAATTTATGTATCCATTTTATATATCCACTTTATGTATCTTTTCTGTGTCCAAAGTATGTGTTAATGCTGTACATTTATGTATTCAGGCTAAGTATCCCTTCTATATATACACTATATGTATCCGATCTATGTAGTAACCGAACAACCGATCTATGTATTCACTCTATGTATCTGATCTATATATTAACCGAACAGCCGATCTATGTATTCGAACAGGCCTAATCAAAGCTCGCATTCGCTATGTTCCGATGCGCTCTATGTATTCTATGCCTCTCACCCTATGTACTCCCTCTATGTATTCACCCTATGTACTCCCTCTATGTATTCACCCTATGTATCCCTTGGCGGCCCTTCACCTTACCCTGCGTCACAGTGACTCATCATTTTTTCTCCCTCCCCCCCAGGGCAACAAAATGCATGGGTTGGGGTTGTGTTTAGCGGCCTAACCTTGGTCGCCATTACACCTATACTCTTCTGGGGGATACACTTCGTAAGTATGAGGGTGGAGAGGTAGATAGATAGATAGATAGATAGATAGATAGAGAGAGAGAGAGAGAGAGAGAGAGAGAGAGAGAGAGAGAGAAGAGAGAGAGAAAGAGAAAAGAGAGAAGAGAGAGAGAGAGAGAGAGAGAGAGAGAGAGAGAGAGAGAGAGAGAGAGAAGAGAGAGAGAGAGAGAGAGAGAGAGAGAGAGAGAGAGAGAGAGAGAGAGAGAGAGGTGGGGTGGGGTAAGCGTTTAGTGGCCTAACCTTGGTCGCCGTTTCACCTATACTCCTCTGGAGGATACACTTCCTAAGTGTGAGAGAGGAGAGGTAGTTAGATGGATGGATAGACAGACAGACAGATGTATATATATATATATATATATATATATATATATATATATATATATAGAGAGAGGAGAGAGAGAGAGAGAGAGAGAGAGAGAGAGAGAGAGAGAGAGAGAGAGAGGAGAGAGAGAGAGAGCACTGAGATAAATAGATAGATAGAATGAATGAAATAATAGAGAAATACATAGATAGATAGACAGAGAGATAGAGAAAAGAGAAAAAAAACTGATAATCAAATAGATGAATAATATCAACAAAATTAAGCAAACGCCAAACAAAAGTGAACACACCCTTACTGACCGAACTTCCCTTACCTTCTCCTTCTGCAGGAAAAGCGAGGCTTCCTGGCCGTGTGGCTCCTGTGGAACTTGTCCGAAATCACCATTAACATCTGCGTCCTCGTGGTGCTGGTTCACAAATTCACCCCCATCCCCACCCCACTCGTTATCGGGATCTTTGCCAACGTCACGTGGACCTCTCTTGCGTCCCGTCCCGTCTACGTGTATAGGAGAGTGGTACGGGATTCTTCGTTCTTTGTTTTGGGCTTTGGTTTTGGTTTGGTTGCGGGTCTAATTTTTTTTTTTTTTGGCGTTTGTGCGGTGATTTTATTTGCGTTGTTTTTTTTAAAGTTCATTCATATATATTGTTTATTATTTTTTGTTATGTCTAACTTGAAGACAGAGGCACTATCTATTTCATCTTAGGGATAAAGAATTTATATTGTATGTTTCTAGTACTCATACCGTAGATATTGTTATAGCTATTATCAATCATCATTGTCATTATTATCGTTTTTATCATTATCATGAATTTCATGAGCATCTTCTATGTTAATAACATGATTATAATGTTATATATTTTTTCAGCTGAAGGCCTTAGACCCATCTATAGAAAGCGAACCTCATTTCTGATGAAAACAAACGAGTATCGCTTTGCGCTTCTTAAAGGCAGTGCTTCAGATTGAAGCAGGAAGAAGAGGGGAGAAGAAGATTAAGAGGAGGAGGCAGAAGATAAAAGGAATGAGGATGAATAGGAGAAATAACCTAAAGATAAGAAAGAAGAAGACGAGGAGAAGGTGGAGGAAAATAAAAGGAAGTGGAAAAGGAGAAGAAGAAAGATTAAGTGTAAGAAAAAAGACAACAAAAACGGGAACAAAATGTTAGAGGAAACTCACACGCTTCATATTTGCCCGTCCTCTTAGATTTTATATTCTCTCTCTCTCTCTTCTCCTCTCTCTCTCCTCTCTCTCTCTCTCTCTCTCTCTCTCTCTCTCCTCTCTCTCTCTCTTCTCTCTCTCTCTTCTCTCTCTCTCTCTCTCTCTTTACTTAAGGAGCTTGCAATCTATCTGTAAATATATACATATATATACCACCTTCTTAAAACACGAATTTCATCATTTCTTCTTTATTTGTGATAAATTATTGTGCCACAATATTTTCCTCTGAAGTGCGAAGAGTGAGAATGAATGTAAGAATAAATCAGCGGGCAACATTTTTTACAAGACGTATGAAATAAGAGGGAGTGCGAAATGTGATACGAATTACACACACACACACACACACAAGGCAAACAGGGGTACAACCACACATTACACACACACACCACACACACCAGACACACACGCCACGCACGGCACGCATGCACTCGCAACGCACACACAACACCACACACACACACACACACACCACACACACAACACACACACAACACAACACACACACAACACACCACACACCACACCGCACAGCACGCACGCACGCACAGACACACACAGGATGCACCGCACGGTACCCCCCCCCACCCCACACACAGGCACTCAACACTCACACTCACACACGCCACATGCATGGATGTATGAAGCATATAAATGCCAATAATTGTTTTGCGGATAGATAGATAGATAGATAGATAGAGATATGTTAGATAGATAGATAGACACACAGTCAGATAGGTAGATAGATAAACACACAGTCACAGATGAATAGATAGATAGACAAATAGATAGATACATGTTTTTAAAATGTAAAATATATTTTGTTAAAACGGCAGAAGAATTGCAAATATGCTTCAGATTATTGTTAATAAAATATTTTATATCAAAATTTGATTTGATTTATTTTTTTTACAATGCTTAGAATAAGAGGGATGAAGGGAGAGGGGAGAAGAGAGCCCGGGAAGAGAGGGAGAGGAGAGCGCAAGGGCATCCCTCATATACCCTGCCGCTTTTATTTCTTTTCCTTCCTCCACCTCTTCTTATCTTCTCTCTTCATATTCTTATGAACTGGCTTCTTACTCCTAAAATTTTCTTGCATTTTCATCAATTATAACTATTTTTCCTAAT